TTCAGAGGCATGAGTGGTTCTGTGAGCCCACGAATGCGATGAGGGCGATGATTTTGAAGAAGAATTCGCAAGCGGGAAAGTAAGCGATGATTTGTGACCGAGGAAATGTTGAGCACGACGAATTCTCCTTCTATGAAAAACTTATCGTGATGCTGCTAAGACAGCAGATTTTGTCGAGGCTGCTATAACATGTTTTCCGACGAGCATGGTAGTTACTACATTAGGTCGCATACAGAAAAGTAGGAAATCGATGTAGCATTGGTTAGGGCTTCTTCAGTAATAAATACTTCCCACTTAGCCAAGAGTTGCGTGATAAACTTTACTTGTTTGTTGCTTCATATTATGTTTATCTATATTCTCAAAATGTAATAAAACCATAGCTAGTGAAATACATAAGGCAAATGATTATTGTTATCCTTATAAAAAAGAGGTTATCGGGAAAAGGTAAAGAAAACCATGCATTTGTTGACTTGGGGTGTCTCCCCACATCGGGTGCCATTGTCGCCAATGTGTTAACTTCTTATGTTTGATTAGTTTCATTTATGTGTGTTCCGTGCTTAAATTAATTTTTTTTCGGTCAACGGGCTCGGCCATTCTCATTGCTACGTTAACGGTCCATTCCAAATTAGGCAAGCGGCGGAACATTTTTGACAGATTAGTTGCACGTGACGGGGTTTGACATTTGAATCGCCTGAGTCTGTTGAACGGTTGTCTAACAAGGGAGGTCGTACAGGGTGTGGAAAGCTCTCTCAGAATGTTTTCATCCATGTTATAGGAGTTTATTATGCATAGGCTAGAGAACCGTGTTCCATTTTCGCTGAGCATCCCTGCGAACCCCGAAGAATGGTGAGAAAATGGTCTAAGGTTCAATCCCTTGTGGTAACGAAATTTTTGCATTTAGGTTGGAGCTTCCAAATTCGCACCAAATAGCGCCAGCGCCAATAACAGATATCATGCTCATTATGAAGACCAACAGTAACTATAACTTCTAGATTTTCACCGGATGGGGAGAAATTGTCACGCCAGAGGGGGATGGAGTTGGAGCTATTGGTAAAAGGGGTGTCATATCCGTAATAAGGGCGCTCGATATGTTAGTTGTCTCATAAATAGTGTCGTTGTTCTTCAAACAAAAAATTTTGTGTTGAAGTTCTATGCTTTCAAAACATATATATATATATATATAAACAAACATATATATAACATATATATCCTTCGAAAGAGAATTGTCTGCTCTACAGAACGACATGCTTGGTTTCTATAATCACTGCGCAGTTTTCAAAT